AATAGGTATTGTCTTTCTTAAAATATCCTTACTAATCAAGTTTATTAGCTAGAACTATCATTATTAGAGGGACTACCTTAGGGAAAAAAAAAACCTAAATATGAGAGACAAAGTGGATTGAAGTTTTATAATTAAGATTAAAATAAAAATCAAATGAGATCTTATATTAAAGGTCGAAAGTAGTATAATAAGTCATATTATCCATACTCATTTTTAACACTACTTCATGCCATGCATGAGAATAGAACATAAACAAAATAGAAAAATTAGATTGCACATGACTCACATCAATCATTTCATAATATAAATGAAGATCAATCTGCAGGATGTTATAAGTTTAAGTTGTCAACATTTTACTGATTCAATTTCAAAATTTGAACTTCTTTTTTTTAAAAATATAATTTATTATATGGATGGTGAAATTTGAATTCACAAGTCGTGTTCTTATAAATTAATTAAATTAATTTTTTACGGGCATGTACTTTTTCTTCCCCGCCAAAAGTTGGTAGCGTTTGTAACTTGGTAGGATTGGCCATATTATTAGTCAACCAACCGGAATGCCCCAAAATGAACCCTAGAGGGCGCCAATATCAGTCAAATTTGTATTGAAGTAGTAACGTTTCTTTTTTTTTTTTTTTGGGGGGACCTTGAATGAAGTAGTAACGTTCACGGTACAAATAATCTATTTAAAATAAACGAAGAAGAAATCGAATAGCAATAGCTTCCGTATGTCACAGTCTGAAATTTAGATTTTTTTTTCTTTATTCTGAAATTTAGATCATGTCAGCCTTTGTTAGCAAACTTACCGTACAAAATGGTCATGACGCCAAAAGAAAATAGGAAAAAAATGACCAAAGAAGAAACCCTCAAATACTACATTTGCTTCTTAGTATAAGAGTTAGTTGACTAAATAGAATAAATTAAAAAAATTAGTTAAATTAATTATTTGTAATAAATATGTATTGTCTTTTTTAAAATACCCTTATTAACTATGTGTATTAGATTATTAGCTCGACCTATAACTACTATTTGATAAAACTAATATGTGCAATATTGTAACTAGTATAAGAATTATTTTAAAAAAATAAATAAATACGATAAATAAAGTGAATTGAGATTTTACATTTATAACTGAATTAAATATCAAATTAGCTTTTATATTAAAAACAGTAGGTACAGTACCTTTTTTATAGTAAAAAGTAAATAAATAAGGCATCTTTCACTTAACCTAGTGAACATCTTATTAGTGATTAAAGCAGTAAATGTAATGATATAATCCCTCCGATTCAAAATATAAGCTAAACTTTATCTATTACGTTTATCAAGAAACTAATTAAAATTAATCTAAAACAATAAATGTCTAAGGTATATATTTGTTTTTCCTAATATACCCTTATTAATGAAGAGAATAAGTAAAATATGTAATAAATGAATTAAAGAGGAAAGAAAATATACAGGGATAAAATTAAAAAAAAAACTCATTAAATGCTTGGACAAAAATAAATGTTATTTTATTAAAAAAAACAACCTTTTAAAGAAAATTTAGCTTATACTGGTATTTTGAACCGGAGGGAGTAAGTTTCCGCAGTTGGTTAAATCGGATCAAAGTTTTTTCCTTCAAGGCTTCAGCTATAATATAAAAATATTCAAATATAATTTAAAAAAGTAATCATTCGATGAAAAAAATATTAGAACATAAATAAATGAAAAATTTATATATATTGTACTCTTTTGGTCTTAAATATAAAACCTATTTTATAGTGTAAATTATTTTGTAGTGTAATTTACACTTTCACTATAAAATAGGTTTTATATTTAGGACCGGATGAAGTATATTTTAATAAAACAGATTCACTGAAACGTAAATATGATAGGCCGTTATTTTTCTTTTAATTTAAAATAATTTTATTTTTGCCTAACCAATTTGATTCGTCCGAAACTTTTTGATCGGACCAGTTAATAAATTAGTTTACTGATTTATTGGCTGTGATGTGACTTGAATTTGGAAAAATTATATTAAAGTCCACCTAAGACAATTAAGTAAACAAGTCCTTTAAAATCATCAAATTAATATGAAGTATCAAGGAATCTCATTACAAGAGATCTCACTTGTTTAATTACTAACTAATCTTTTTTTTGAAGTATGTATTGACAACTAAAAGAATAGTCGTTAACAACTTAAGTCATAATAATTAACAACTATCGCGGCAGGTATTGACAACCCATGTATTTTGTTTTTGTGATACGTTGAGAAAATTTATTGTACCTGTCGCAATAATTGTTAATCTTTACGCCTTAAGTTGTTAAAACTACTATTTCAGTTGTTAATATATATTAAAAAATAAAAACAATTTAGAAATTAAACAAGTAGAATCTCTTAGAATTTCAGATTAATTTAATAATTTTAAAAGTTTTTTTATATTTAGTTCTCTTAGGTAAAACCTTATTGCAATTTTTCCGTGGAAATTTTGATCCCGCAATTTACTTCAAGAAAAGAATTTTTTTTGGAAATAATGCCAGTAAAAAACAAAGGAGCGTAACTGAACCTGAGCTGAATCAAAGGTTTGACTTTGAATGAGGTGTGTTGCGTTGTGTGTTGGGTGAGTGTACCCAGGACAGAAATGGGTACATGATTTAGTTTTGAACCAGCCCGTGATTTAGCCCACTCGCACTCCCATCGCTTGCTGTTCACGTTGTTATAAGCACATTGGAAAACGTAGCACTGCAATCCACGCGCTACTGATCATGCCCTTTTCTCTTTTAAACCTGAAGACTGAAATTTAGTAATTTACATTTTACTTTTATTACCATCAGACAATTTCTAACAAAAAGTTGGTTTCACTCTGCAACAGATATAACTCATTTTCAAACCACCACATGCTTATATTTCTTTTATTCGGAATTCTGACAAAAAGAAAACAATAATCTCATAGAAAAAAGTTTGAAATTGCTCAATGTTAAATAATTTTTTTTTTACAGAAATATTGTTGTTTGCAAATGAAGTATATGAATTTGATTTGGGATTTAGTAATTTTAAACTTATGATTCTAGAAAAAAGACTTTGTACATTAAATTTGAGATTTGATAGAATTTGAGGGCTCATCACAATTTAGGCCCCATTGGTTAAAATTATTTACAAAAATAGTTATGTTATGACCCATATTTAAGCATAGTTATAAAATGAGTCAGAGATTAACACATATAGTGCATGAGCTTGCGTAAATTTTAAGGGGTTGGCTGTTGGATGTTTAAAAAAAAAAAAAGAAGGACATACAAATGTACTTTTCAAATCTTACGAATACTTATAAAAAGTTTGTTAAATTACAAGAATTAAAAAGTTTTGTTAAAATTAGTTAAATACTTTAAAAATATTAAAAACCTACTTAGAAAAAAACATTATTCAAAGAGGGGATAAGTGAGAGAGAGGAGGAGCAAATATGAAAGCCGATTAAGATTAATAAATAATTAAATAATTAAATGGGTAAAAAGCCAAAAATAAAAAATAATATTAAAATTTTAGATATGCTATTAATATTTCTTGCACTACCTCTAGTTTCTTATATTAATAAAATTACTACCTCTAGTCCTTAATAAAAAAAATCTATTTAACTAATTTGAATATATTAATAAAATTAGTTAAATTAGTATTTGTAATTGTAATAAATATGAATTGATTCTCTTAAAGTACCTTTTTTAATTATAATTATCCTTAGATGGAAATTAAAACTCTTAAGATGTGTAATCAATAGGAATATTTTAAAAAATAAATTAAAATTTTGTGAGACAAAATAAAATAATATCTTATATTTAGAACTAAATCCAATATCCAATTAGCTGTTATATTAAGAACTAAAAATGATAAAAAAAGATGTCTTATGTAATTATATGCTTGAAGGGCGATGTGCAAATTCTGGCTAATCAATACCCACATATTGCCTTAATTTTTTGTTGGCAAGATATTTCTTGCTTACCAACAAAAGATTTTGCCTTGCTATTACGAGTCCTACATTAAGAAATCTCGTAAGTATTACATAGTTTATAAGTTCAAAGAGCTCTCTCTCCTAATAGGCTAGTTTTTTGGGATTGAGCTCTCCCTTTAGGTATGCTCATCACATTGGTGCTTTCGTTGAGAATCAGCCAACCGGAAATGGCTATCTATGGAGGGTTTTGACTGGTAAGAAGACAAAGTAAAGTGTTGTGAGTGGAGTCGTCGAGGACGTTGGCTCTCGAGAGGGGTGTTTTATTACGAGTCCCATATTAGAAAATCTCATAAGTGTTGTGGGGTTTATAAGTTCAAAAGACTCTCTCCCCCAATAAGCTAGTTTTTTGGGATTGGAATCTTATGCTCATCACAGCTCTGCTTATTACGTAATCATGAAAATTTTGCAAATTGCTTAAGATCTAGAAAGAAGAATTAAAAAAATTTTAAACCTTATAATATGTTCCTTTTTTTAATTTTTATTTTGGTATTTTAATAATATATTTGTATGAGATTTACGCGGAAACCTATTTAAATTAACAAAGCGGTTTCTTCAATAAAGAACTGGAGACAGGCAAAAGCAGAAAAAAGGACTGTTCAAAAGGCGTGCAGACAAGGGTGAAGGATTTCTACGGGTACACAAAGACCACCATCACCTACGACCTGCCGGATCTCGGTCAACTCCGTTTGACCACAATAACGACAAAACCAGCGTCATTGCTGTAATTCACCCAATTTTCGTATGCATACATATTTCATTCTTAAAATTCAAAAAAGAAAGTATTTATATATGTGTTTGTGTATTCCCAAAAGGAAAAAACATGTTGGCTCCTGATTTGGCAGTTTTCATATATTTTTAATTTTTAATCTTTTTAATGGAGTTGCTGTCTGGTTAAGATTTTATTTTAAACCTACGGCTTTTGTCGTAGCTGTTGGCGAAGCCTTTCGCTTTTATAGCCTTTGTAAGTGGAGTGACCCGTTTTCCTCTTATATATAAATTCCCACTTTGCTTTGTTCTTTCTTTATCTCTCAGAGAGAGAGAGAGAGAGAGAGAGAGAGAGGGGAAAGAAGGAAGGCTCTTCAAGGAAATATGAGAACCCGTGGAGGGCTCTGTTATCCTCGCGTCGTATCCACCATGTGTACAGATGAAGCCGCCTTCGTCGGAAAATTGCGTTCAGATTTTAAAGTCGTTGCTAAGAGAAACAACGACTTGGACATTGATTCTACTGTTAGCCGGAAAAGGCGAAAGAAGTCGCCGGAAAATTCTTCCGCCAGCGACCACTGTTTTTTCGATTCCTTGCACGATGACCTTATCCTCGTTATTCTCTCCAAACTTAGTTCCTCCGCCGCTTGCCCTTCCGACTTCATCAATGTCTTGATCACGTACGTACTGTTTATTTAACTTCCTCTCTACATTCTCGCATCTGGTCTGAAATACGACTAAAATTTGTTAATGTTTCGCGCAGTGTCGGAGATTTCTTTGTTTTGACCGAAATGGTTGTGTTGATCTTGAATCTCACGTGATTGATTTTTGGGAAACAGGTGTAAGAGATTAAATGGATTAGGACTGAGTTCTTCTGTGTTGTCCAAAGCTTCGCCCAAAGCCTTGGCCGTGAGAGCCAAGAACTGGTGCGAATCTGCTCATCACTTTCTGAAACGGTGCGTCGACGCCGGAAACGTCGAGGCCTGCTATACTCTGGGAATGGTTAGTGGAGAATAATGATTCCTTTCTTTCCTCTGAAATTAGAAATATCTTTCTTTATTTCGAAATCCATCACATTTGAAGTTACAGTATTGAATGTGGACTGCTTGTTGCCTTTGCAGATTCGTTTCTACTGTTTGCACAACCGAGGAAGCGGAGCCTCGCTGCTAGCCAAGGCGGCGATTAACTCTCACGCGCCAGCACTGTACTCCCTCGCCGTCATACAGTTCAACGGCAGTGGAGGCACCAAAAACGATAAGGACCTCAGAGCCGGCGTGGCTCTCTGCGCTCGAGCCGCCTTCCTGGGCCATATTGACGCCCTGAGGGAGCTCGGTCACTGCTTACAAGACGGCTACGGCGTCCGACAAAACATCATAGAGGGGCGGCGCTTCCTCATCCAGGCCAACGCCCGAGAACTTGCCGCCGTGCTCTCCTCATCCGCTGCCCCTGGCATGCCGACACGCTCTTGGCTCACGTGGAATCTCCGCCAAGTCTCTCAGCCTCAGCTCCGGCATCTAGCCGTGTCGGGTTGCCCGCTCCTGAGTGATTTCGGATGCAACGTCCCGGTTCCAGAGGCCCACCCAGCAAATCGGTTCTTAACGGAATGGTTTGCGGCAAGGGGCGGGTTTCCCGGGCCGGGTCTTCGTCTATGTTCGCATGTGGGTTGTGGTCGGCCTGAGACGCGGCGGCATGAATTCCGGAGATGTTCAGTGTGTGGGACAGTGAATTATTGCTCACGCGCGTGTCAAGCGCTTGATTGGAAGTTCCGGCACAAGGTTGAGTGCACGCCGGTGGAGAGATGGGTGGACGATGAGGGTGAAGAGGCCGTTGAAGATGCCGGCGAAGTTGACGGCGACGTTGAGATGGCAGATAATAGTTAGATTCTTTTTTAAATGGCAACGGTGACGTTAGATGAAGCCATTTTTGTTGAGAAAAATTGGGGGAAAAAAACTGTGGCGGAGAGGACAGATCACCGACGCTTAGTGGTCAGAGTAGTTCGCCGGTGACGCGTGGACTAGTTCACCACTTTTACATACCCAATTCATTTTGGTCAATTTTTGAAATTGTAAAAAAAAAAACAAAAATTAAAAATCTCTTTACCACTTGTCTCTCGCATTTCATCTTCCAAAAACGCCGATTTCAGAATAAACGTTCCTCGACTTCCACAAATTTGCCTACTTTAATAGGTTAAAGACACGGGACGGACTATCCTCCCACAAAAACGACACGGAGCAGCATTCTAACATAATTTTATTTCTTTTTTTTTTTAATAAAATAATTTTGTTTCGTCTCAGAATTGATTTGCCCCCTCCTTTGGTAGAATTCTTTAACATTAGTTACTGAATTGCTCAACCCGTCAAAAGATGTGCAATCATTGAGTGAAATTTTACATACGCCTAAAACTTGAAGCTACTTTAAAACCGTCAAAGGTTTGGTAGCCTAGTGGTATTAGCACTTCTTGATAAGTGAAAAGTTGTGGATTTGATTCCACAATTTCAATCTGTTGGTGCTTTTTTTTTTTTTTTAATTTTAAAAAGAGGATACTTCAAAATCAATTAGAATAAGTTCTCCTTGTTAGGAAATATTTAATTTTAAAAACTAAATTGAAGTGTATATAATAATGAAATGAAATCAAGAATGAAAACACTATTGACTAATGTGACTGTTTTTTTTTTGGGTGAAATTGATTAATGTGATCTAAATTTTCTGTTGTATTGAATTTTGTTAATACAGTATTTCTTTTGGGCCATCAGTTTGTTAAATTTGTCATAGCATATAGATTATGGGTTTCCCAAATTATTATTTGTTGTACTGGCTGAAGAAAAATCATGCAAGTCCTATTTTTTTTCCCTTAGTGATTCAAACGGTGCAGACATATTATAGTGATTGAACAGAGACAATTAAAAAAAAATAAAAAAGACGAGAGAGAGAGAGAGAGAGAATTATTGAGGGGGGGGAGGAAGGAGAAGAGAGAGAGAGATGTAGTGGAGGAGACGTGGGATTGGGACTCAGTGGAGGAATATATGAGTGTGTTGGAAAATCTTTTGGGACTGATCATGAAATAAAATAAGTAGCAAGAAAATGTAAGATGGGACATATAAATATAATGTCAAATGTGGAATATATAATTTAAGATTATATTGAAATTATTGTCTGGGTAGAAAATAAAATAAAGTCAGCTGGTGGTGGGTCCATTCACATTTATTTTCTGAAAATATGGTGAGAGGAAAGGGCCCACTCATCTTTTTTGTGTGTGTGTATTTGCTCATTACTCATAATAATTAATTTAAAATTTTAAATAATGTCAGTCTGATCTTTGATTCTTTATTATAAGTTATTTATAGAAATTTTTTATCATAAATACAAGTCATATAAAATATTTAATAATGATTTTGTGATTTTATCTTATTTAATTCTTATTGAAAAGAGAAAAAGATGAGAAAGAAATGCAAGAAAAATTTGTAAATGTAAAGAGAGAAAAAATTTTAATATGTGTAAATTTAGAAATTTTATCTATTTAATACATTTCTTAATATGTGAGAATGAGTTACAAATGAGTTATAACATAGAGAGAAGTGGAATAATAAAACTATCACTTGCATCTAAACTTCGTCAACCATTCATCAATGGAGCACATCCCATATTTGAATCCCTTACTATTCTTTATTGTTTCTTATTTGTTTACGAATCATTACATTAATTTTAGTCAGGTTCCCACTCCCTTATATATATATATATATATATATATATATATTATATATATGTATATAAACATTTTAGGGGTTATGAGAGTTATTGCCCATATAAAAGGGAGTATGAGATGAGGCATGCAGGATTGCAGGGAATCCTATGAGGTCGATAAGTAATTCTTAATTTTTAAATAATTGCATGGGTATTGGTGTAGTAAAAGAGAAATACTCCTATGTCTTAAAAAAATTATTAAAATTTGTTAAAGTTGATAAATGTGTAAAAAGTGTATTTTTATCTGTAAATATGTCCTTATTTATAAGTTGGCAACTGAAAGGAGGAAAAAAGTAGAAAGAAAATATATGAGAGAAACATAATAAAATAGAAAAGGCATATTAATTAAAAACAAAATGGTTAAAAATGTATTTAATATTTAGACAAATCCAAAGTAAATTTTATTAAAAAAATGAATCGACTTAAAAATTTGAATCTTATAATAATAATGAGATGCCGAAGGAGTTACTCTCTAAAACTTTTGCACAAATCTTTGTCACTGTATTCTTTCATAGTTTCTCACTAAGAGAATTTTTATTGGGGTCACGTATTCTTGTTTATAAGAGAACTGATGAGGTATTCGAAAATTTTAGTGCTCCCTTCGATTTCTAAGGCTAGTTTGGGGGTTAAGTTTAGTTTTAAATATAACATCTCAATTTGTTTTGTTTATCATATTTATTATTTTTTAATCTAATTTACTTAACTTATATACTAATATATACTCCACTGTTCTACAAAAATATTTTAGGAGATAACGTCATATTTATTATAATTAATTTACTTATTTGATATGTTTAATTCATTCAAATTAGTTAAGTAGTTTTGACGTTAAAAGATAAAAATAAATACCATTTTTTATTTTTGTCCCATTATTAATGATTGGTCAGTCACAATGCACTAGTTATATATATTCACATCCCACTCGCTCGTTCTCTCAACAGATAAAAGAGAGTATATAAAAATATGCATAAGGAGTTATATTATGTACAAATGACAGTTAATGTGGCTTATACTTCAACTTCAACTTTGGTATAGACATAGGTGTCTATAATTAAAACAATAAAGGGTGAGAATTCAAAATGGATATAAGCAAGTAGTACACTAGCTCAAATATGTCTTTTTTATTGTCTCACTTATACTGATATCATTCAAGACTTGTTACCTTGCACCAGCATTACAATCCATATGTGCATCTGAAATTTATCATTGCACTTTGGAATAATCTAGCCAATCCGGTGATTTTTTTATTTTTATTTATTTGAAAAATAATCTTATATTCCATGCTCCCCATTAATTCAAATCTGGGCTTTTGGGCAAGGTTGGACCCTAATTGAAAAGGGAAAAAAATTTCTCAAAGTGATTTTTTTAAAAAAGAAATTAGATGATCATATATATTACTTCAATTTTTAATACAAGAGCTAACTTAATTTTTAATTTGATTCTAAATATAAAATCTTAATCCACTTTGTTTCTCATATTTATTTATTGTTTTCAAAGTAATCTTTATAGTAGATGTATATATTAAAAGTTTCATCAAATATTAAAGCTAATATACCTGATTAGAAATGGTATTTTAGGAAAGCTAACACCTATTTATTACAAACAACTAACTTAACAAAGTTTCTTAATCCACTAAGTGCCTGTTTGGATTATCAATGAACAACTATAATTTTATATGATCATGATTTTTATAAGTGACATTGGCTAACATTGAAATGTGAATTATGTTTGGATTTCATTTATTAAAATCACTTATAAACATATAATGACCAAAAAGCAATAAGGGTGGATAAGAGAAATATAATTTAATATAATTCTTATAATTAATTATTATTTAAATATAATTTTAATTTAATAATAATTATTAATAATGGTAGATAGGAGAAATTCTGTTTGCTGCTTCTAATCGCAAAAGCCAGTCCTAATAATTGCTCAAACGTGTGATTAGACCTAAAATCATGATATATCAGAATTTCAAAAGATTTAGCCAAACAGAATAGATAGGCTCTATAATCACTTATTTGAGTTCAAAACTTCAAATAGACTTATTTAAATTTTTACTGTTTAACCAAACAGGCACTAAGCAAGGTAGTCAGAAGTCATGAAGGGAGAACCAAGAATTGACCACTTAATCATGTTGGTTTTATTCATCAAAAGCTAAAAATTAAATTAATAACCGCGGATAAAACGATTGATGAAGATGAAGTTGGAAAATTAAAGGGAATTTAATCATATATATCAAAAAGAATATTCGTAAGGTAATTGCAATGAAATTAGTATATCAAGGAATTAATTGCAGGCTTTTTTAATGATTAAGATGAAATCACAGTTGCAGTCAAAGATTAAGGGGTGCTTGGATGAAAACAGATATTTTAGTTCTAGAAGTAGAACCATGAGAAAGTCTTTGAATAATCATATTGAATAATTATAATTAAGATTGTGATTATCTTATCTTCTGTACCTTATTTGGCATATTTGGTATAAATATATAAAATCAATTGCTGTCACCATCTCAGAACTTCCTTCTTCTTACTTTTAAAATTGAAGCGGGCTAAATAAATCAGAGGAAAGATAATAATCACTTTCACTTCGACATATAAATTCAATTTCACTTCGACATATAAATAATACTGCTTTTTTTACGTTTTTAAAAAAATTATTTCGGGTCATATTCATATGTAATATTTTTACGTGATAGAGAATTTTGAACGGGCACATGGACCCTTGCTGAAATTTGAGAAAGCCATAGAAATTCAAACAAGAAATTAAAAATCATTTTGAAAAAATCGTTACTCTATTTGAAAATTTGGTTTTTGTTTAACTTTGGAAAGTGATTCCTTTTTTTTTTTTGGGTTTATTTTGCAGATAATTGCTAGTATGATTTATTTTTATAAATTTTTAACATACGCACACTTTCACCTTGAAGTTTTGGTTTTATATAAAAATAATTAATTAAAATACTGATAGTAGAAAACAGATGCCATTAGATTTTGGGTTTTAATATAAGAGTATTTTAGTCAAATACCACTAATTCTTTAGTACTATAACTATATACTCTTTGGTTCTAAATATATGACCCATTTTATAGTGTAAATTACATTATTAAGTGGGTTCTATATTTAGAACTAGAGGAGTATATTATATGGCTTATAAATCTCGGTACACAACCTTAATGAAAATTATTTCAACCCTGAAATATTATTCAATTTTTTTTACATGAGTATGGCTTTCTCGTAGTTAAGCGGGAAGCAAACAAAGTAAAGATGACGTGTGTATGTATATTTTATAAAATATGTCTCCCCATTTTTTGCATTAATTTGCCCTTTATTATTATACTCTAGTTTCTTGACATTTAAAATAGCATATAAGCAATTTCCATTTTGAAAATCTTAATATCAAGAAAGGATT